ATATATATATATATATAAAGATGATTTTCGTTATATTTACTTACATTGTATTAAAATAAAAAAATAAAAAAATAAGAAAAAAATGAAAAATTACTTATAAAATAATTCATGTAAAAATGAAAATCAAAATCGGTTAGGTATACTAATATCCTTTATAACAGATTTATAACAGAAGAATAAGATATAGATAAAATTTTAAATAAGAATTCTTATAGAGTATATATATATTAATATTAGTGATGAGTTGGTATGATTTCTTCTCCGCTCCATCTTTCTGAAACCCAACGCATTCTGCACCTCTATACCATTTTTATAAGATGAGGTACCTTTTTCAATCGCCCACACCACATTTTGTTGTTAGGTTCTCCACACAAAATTTAACTCTCTATACTGCGTTGCATTTCGTTTCTCTTTATTCTTAGGTCTTCGTGTTTGCATGAATTTCACACTACAACACTTTTTATGGATTTCTCTCCCACTTCCCCTTCTTCTTTCGCATTCTCTCTCTGTCACTTTTATTTAACAAAACAAATAAATAATTTAGGGTTTTAGCGTTTTGCTTAAGAAATCTTAGATTCTCTCTGGTTTGTTGGTTCGTTGCAACGTTTAATTATTGATGTTCGTATCATTTGTTCACGGCTTCGTCGGTTGATTTAGATCACTTGCATTGCGCATCCTGCATGTTTCATTAGTCTCATTTTTTTTGTTTTTTTTTTGCTCCGTGGGAAACGGAGGAAAGCTCTTTTGCTGCATGAATTTTGATGTGGTCTCGTAAGAGTGTATTTATTGTTTTGATTTCATACTCAAAGGCTATTCTGACTGGAGGATTGGTGATGGAAACTTCGAGCAACGTAAAGTTGATGCTCATTTTAGATGTATGGTACTGTTTCGCATGGATCAGGAACGTAACATCAAGGTCAAATTGATATTGAATTAGAAGTTTAAGGGAGAAAGTTAAAACAGAATTGTGATTCAGAATAAAATCTCTACTAGGCTCAAATTTGATAGACCCAAGTGTATTCCGATCAGGTGGTATGTCAAATATATATTTAATTAATTTAAACCAAGAAATTAAATGGAAGTGGGTCAGCATGATTTCTTTTTCCTTTCTATTTTTTATATAATTTGTATTTTATTTATTGTGTGGTGCGATGAGTTATTTTGAGTTTTATAGACTCTTGTGCTCCATTGCAGCAAAGTTTGGATACTTTGAATCAATAATTTAGATCAAGTTTTGTGATTGCTTTGAATACTTTTAGTAACAAGCATTGATATATTATGTATGGTTGGGATCGATACAATATTAGCTAAATGGTCTCCGTTGTTCTGTTAATGGATGTTTCAAGGCGGTTGACATTTCAGATATCTATATAAATGAAGAAATGTATAAAGTGATAAAGGAAGAGGATATCAATCATTGATTTAAAGTTGGTTAAGTTTATGAGATACATTAACTCAAATCAACGGCATATACCCTCTTACTTTTTCACTTTTCACTTCAGAGGAGTTAGATCCAGAGATTGGGAAGCTTTCTTGCATATTTTATTTTTCTTCTTCCACTATAATTTTTTTTATTTGGAAGATTTGTATTCCCCTACCTTCGCTCCTTTTTTATAACAAATTTTCTTTCACTATAAAAATTTCCTGCATGATTGTTGTTATGTAATGTATTTGTTCAGTATGCTATTGTTGTGGCCTTGCAACTTGATATTCAAATTAAAGTCGTGTGAAAACCAGTTGTGTTGTCTTCTTGTGTCAGTTGGGGACAACATTATATTGAGCAAGATTTTCAGTATTCTAGATCCTTAAATTCTTTTGAATTTTATAATGCAGCCGCCATCCTTCTGTCAAATGGGCCCAGAGGTCTGATGAGATCTACATAACTGTTGAGTTACCTGATGCGCAGGATGTGAAGGTTGTACTGGAGCCAGAAGGAAAGTTTTACTTCTCTGCTACTTGTGGTTCAGAAAAGATTCCATATGAAGTTGACATAGACCTGTTTGACAAGGTTGATGTAAATGTAAGAGCCTCCAGTCTCATAATGGTTTGTTAATAATATATTTTACAGAATTATCTGATGGTTTGCGTAATAATCTTTCTTCTCAGAATAGCAAAGCTAGTGTTGGTTCCAGAAATATCTTCTATGTCGTGCAAAAAACTGAAAGCAAATGGTGGAGCAGATTGTTAAAGCAGGAAGGAAAACCTCCAGTATTTTTGAAAGTAGATTGGAACAAATGGGTTGATGAAGATGATGAGGAGCAAGAAGATGATAAACGTTGGTGATTCTATCCCGTTTCTCAGAATATAGGTTTTCATTTTGTATCAGTTGTCTCATTTGCATATTGTTTTTCAGCTGGAGCTGGAACTGGTATGGACTTCAGCAATTTTGATTTTTCTGTAAGTAGCAAAAACTCAAGATAGTTTAATACTTGAATTTTTAGTTTGATGAAATCTTATCATTTATTCTTTTTTCTTTAAATCCAGAAGTTGGGCATTGGTGGGGGTGAGGGTCTGGATGATGACATGGCAGGCGATCATGATGGTAAGAGTATCTACCTGCTGTCTGTTATTTTATTTGTGGAATGCAGCATAATTGATTCTTCTGATTGTAATTTCAATTCTTTATGACTTTTAATTTTGTTATCTTGTATTTAACTGGAGTATATTGGTCTTTTTCCATTTCAGATGATGAGAGTGACTCAAAGGAGGTTACAGAACAAGCATCAGCTGATAATGAACCTGACACAAAGGACACAGTGGTCACCGATCCTAATGCTGCATCTGGTGCTAAAGCTTAAAAAGTTGGAATCATGAGCCTTTTCATAGCTTTCAGTGTAGGACAAGTATTTCGAAGTTTGCTTAGCTAGAAGCCTTCCGGGTTGTTCCGGTTTTAGGCTTCATCCAGAGTTTGGACCTTTGCTTTTCTAACAAGAGAAGCCAGGCATATAGGAGTTGATCGAATTTTAGTATCATCATTCATGAGTGTTTTGTGTCTTTCTTTGGGTTATGGCTACTCTTAAATACAAGTTTTGTCATTTTAAACATAGAACATAAAATGATATTGCCGTTAATGCCTCAACCTCAACCTCAACATTTCTTAGTTTTGTTTTCCCCAAGAAGCGATGAGAGAAGAGACCAGGCGTTAAAAATAATACACTAGACAATTGTTTTTATTTTGGTTTAATTACATTTTTATCCTTCAAATATTGCAATTATACAATTTTGATTCCAAAAATTTTAATTAGGTAATTTTAGTCCTTAAATAATTATAATTATGCAATTTTAGTCCTTCAATTTTTAATTAAATAATTTTAATTTTTAAATATTATAATTGTGCGATTTTAGTCTCTTTTATTAAAAATTTAATAATTTTAATATATATATATATACAATATTTTTAAATTATATAATTATTTATCTATTTAAATTAATGTATATTATAATTTTTGTTAATATATTAA